CCAACTCTTAATGACCCGAACCAGTGAGAACCAAAGCATGAGCAACATCCGGTCATGAAACTGGAAAGTTGATTATTTCTTTTCCAACTTGTCATGATTTCTCCCTCCCCTATACCCTACTAAACAGTTTGATATAAATTAGGATGTATTAGCTCGTAGAAGAATAGCCACAGAAGAGCTTGTTCGCTGCTCTGTATCTTCCTTGTATTTATAAGTTCATTTCAAATTCATTTATTGCTGGTTGTCTGCCCGTTAGCCAACATGGCCTCACAGTTTGCCGGAAAATGAAAACCAGGTAATTCACTTCGCATCGCGTTCACTACACAGAACTAAGGTAACAGTTCAACATGATAACCCACCAATCGTCCTCAGAATTTAGATTCTTGAACTTGCCCCAATCTTCAGTTTTATTATTCTTCAATTTGTTTCCCAAGCTGTTTATCCAAGTGTTTTTTCTGGAAAACTCTTCATGTTTTCGTGTTCCAAAAGTGAGATATCGGTACCGCCCCATTTCCCTCATCTTGTCTTCCTCCGAGACGATAGAACCACCGACTGCAAGAAAAACTTTGCCGCCAACTAGACTTCTGTGAACATCTCAATCACGGTCAATGGGAAACACAGGCACACCAGTGACTTTTTGGTATGAGTCACATATTAAAACATCCATTGGTAGGATTATTCACACCCTTAATTTCTCGATTTCTTCGATCGGATTTGACCTGTCGAGCTCGCGCTGTAATTTCCCAAGCTCAGTCGCTTCTCACACTTGTCATTTTGATACTACGCTCGCTTAGTGACCTGTTAACCCCTGTTCGTTTCGTTGGGGTCATTCTAATAGCTGTTCTAATAGACTCCGGTATCCCTCAAAAGTTCACTTTATCCCCTTTATGCTTTCTTTTCATTTTATACCTTTAATTCAAAACTGCTGAGTTAATTCGTATTTCTGTGACACCCCCAGTGCGTCCACTATCATTGACACCCACAACCGGTAGTCCGCGTGCAATCCGCTTCATTAAGCTCTATACACGTTCACTACTTGATGGACTAAGGTTTGGATTTTTTTTTTATATATTGCTAGAATCCCATATGCTTATGTTTCCCTCGAGTATGGCCTCTGAACCCTGCACTTACACCTCGACCACGATTCACTTCGTTCTACGGTTTTCCTTGGTCCCCAATATTCTTCTTCTTCTTCTCCCTCTCAGTCCCTTCCAAATCAGCTTGCATTGCGTAGGTCTTTTTCGCGAAATTTTTTTTCCCACCTACATCTGCATTCGTGCATAGCAACGTACAGATTCATACTACCATAATATAGTGAGCACCTCTCTTCTCTGACACTTTGGAACGTTGTTCAGCGTTTCATCATTCAACACCCGGCTCTTCACCACGCAATCGTCATCCCGTGTTTTGCAGTGTTACTATCAAGGATTTCGCTTTCCCTTGTCTTTCCATTGGGTTTCTCCCTTGTCTTCATTTACGCTTGAGACCCCGGGTACAAACATCCAGTCACTTCTACAGAGCAACCCCAAGAACGGTGGCATTTGGTTAGTTTATCTTTAAGTGCCGCGAATTTAAGCAACATCGTATCTCCATCTGATTTCCCTTCAAAACGAAATTTGTCCCATCTTCATAATCACCCTAGGCAACCGGTTTTCTTCACTTACTACAAAAACACTTGCGTGACAAACAGCAGCAGGGATATGAACGGTAGTCATGAAGACCCATCATTTACTCATGTGATAACTGGTATGTGAAACTTCGGGACCTGGTGTGCCGGATCACTAGTTTAGGTGTCGTACAATAAAGCTGAGATTCAACCCTGTCCGGTACATCCCGTTCGCGTCGTATGTATACATTCATGGCGATCCTTCTTAACCATGACGGTTCCTCTTTTCTAATTGAAGAATTCCCCTAAGAAAGCAATTCATTGTCATCTGCTTTCAGACCAAAGTTAATTTAGTCCTGATGTGCCTGCGAGGTTGGTACGTCCAGGAATCTGACACCGTTAAATCAAGGCAAATTTCGCATCGTGCTTTCAAACTCAGACGCATCGGGAAACACGTGAATCATTTCGTCTTATTCTACCAAGCAAACCACATCGAAACGTATTCGTCCTGCAAATTTAGTCCTTCTCCCGTATAAACTCACCCTTCACGTCACGTTGATCGTCGCAACTCTCACCCATTCGGACTTAAAGTAGTCGGTGTAAATGGATAATTTACCAGTTCTCAGACAGATCGTGATTCGTGACTCGAAAACCTAAGTTTGCAAAATCTACTGGAATTTATAGCTGCTGTTAACATTGATAATTTTTTACTTTTATTGAAGCTATTTATCACAGCTGCAACTGGGATTAATTTGTCAAGGAAAAAAACAGAAATGGTTTCCACAGTCTTTTTGCTTCGTGAGATTGATCAGCCGTTCACGAGGTATGCACACCGGTGAGGCACGATTTGGGCATTTCGTCTCCTGTTCTCGTTTTCGGCTTAGAGTGATATTCTCTACCCCCGCCCCGCCCCTAATCAATTTTGATTCATGCCTGACGCTTTCATGTAAGAGTAGTAAGGTGTAAATTTCATCCACTGCCTCACTTGTGCCAAGCCTATGCAAGTATGAATTTCCACATCATATAAAATGTAATACGGTTTCAATATTGAACTCAGATGCCACCCAAAATTCCTTCGGGACGCGATCTTAAGTTTGTAAAATGTTTATGATAATATCTCGTTAATATGATTTTCTCTTGCACACATTTCAAAATTTTCGGATTCACGTTTCCCTACACGCACTCACTTGATACTGGAATAAACTTGTTGCCATGGATTTGCGAATACCGTTCGACCTTCCACGGATAAACATGACCGATTTCTATTCACTGAAAACCACCGAGCAAATACCAAATCAAAACAAGTGGGACAAATCCTTGGATCTTGGCATTCTTCAAGCCCCCTACGTGAATAAGTACTCTAACTTGATTCTGGTATACTCATCCGGAATCAACTAATTCGACAACGGAACTAAGGACCATCTGATACGGGAAAACTTCTGACCCTTCATGTAAATTAATTGATGAACTGTAAACAGAACCGACCGTTAAATGAGAGAACTGAAACAGAACACTCAGGCTGTCATCAGTGCTAGTGAGGAAACAATTATAAACAAATGGCCCGGTAACTCAACCGAACACGAGGGAAATAAAATCAGATAAATGGTGTTCAATCAAAAAAAGATGGGCATGATTTTCGCATATGATGAAAATGGAATGTTAAACGAAAACAATGATGTGATTCAAACTGTCTTTCTGTATACACAAACCGACAAGTCATTGTTCAAGTTGCACACGTAGGTAAATTGCATGTGACTTGGCTCCGTATGCAAACGATGACTGAACATCTACCGCTCACGCCAGTTGGCCAGAAGTTCATGTATGCGTCGTCCGGCATCAATCATTGCGCTACCCACGCTAGTAAGAGTCGAACCGATTATCTTCATGTATCCCGAAACCAGATAAGGTAAATCTTTCGTAGGACGAGGAAATGGCGGGAAAGGCCTGCCGGGTGGAGGTCCCCAAGGTGGCAAGTGACCACCATCAGTGCCATTGTTTCCACCAGGCAATGGTATTAATGTATCGTTTCCATAATCGCCAGGTGGGGGTGACACTAATGTCTCGTTTCCATTGGGTATCGAAATAACTGGGATAGGCTCCTCGTCATCTTCAGTTTCGTTTGATGTTAATTGTGGACCGGGGTTGTAAGTGGGAAACAGATTGGGTCCCACCCCCGTGCCGTTTAAATCAGGCGGGGAAATTTCTTCTACCGATACGGTCACCGCAGACTGGTTGCCCTCATAGACTGCCACTTGGGGCACACTTTTGGCAAAAGCCTGAGTGCAGAATAACACCAAAGCAAAGACCACAACAAGTGAACGCATTTTTGCGAGCGATTCCATTCCACTGATCGCGGTCCCCATATCAGCGAACGCTTATATTGTGACAAGCACGCGCACACACACACACACACACACACACACGAACGCACGCGTATACACCCAGTCTGTTGTGGCTTCGGCAAATGATCCGCAAACCTCCAGATAACACCAAACCCTCATTAGAGGTAAAAGGTGGGCGAGGAGCGGATGGTGCGATGCACGCAGATGATGATCAGAGCGCGAGAGAGAGAAAATTTGATGTGTTAGAACACGTAATAGAGCCGTAGATTCACCCTTACAGAAAAGATTCATGAGCGCCCACACAAACATTCACAGGAACAGATGAGTAAGTACAGTAAGTTCAGTTCGCTCATCGCGTGAATCCATCGAACCGGAGCCAATGAGAACGAATGCACCGTACTGAGAGCTGTATGATTCATTCTTGTGTGCTTCATTACTCTGACGAACACTCGGCGACAAGTTCCGCAGTCCGGTGTGAAAAAATTCAACGTAAAGGACAAGACTATAGAGACTGAGTAATAGGTTGAGGGGTGGATGAATGTGATGGATTTTTTTCTATAGTATGGATGCCTACGTTGATCGTACTATTGGGAATCTGATTGCACTGAATTCTTCAGATTGCAAGCCAGTTAGTCAAGCTGGCTACTAATTGAGCAATGGTTATCATTGTGTCATACTAATAACGTATGTAGTTCAATCTTTTCTTTTTTTTGCTTTTTTATTTTAATTTCGTTTATTGAATATAAAAAGATACAATTTTCAGGAAAGGGGAAGCGGTCAATCAAAGAGCTGCCATCGAGTAAATTTACTCACTGTAAATGGATCAAATAACTTGATTTAATCAGACTTTTATTAAACGCTCCTCAAAGAGCTTGTTTCGTGCTTCTGGAACACGCCACACTCTAGTGCCGTACCCATAGTCGAAATATCGAAACCGGTTCAACTCATTACGGTAAGGAATGTGTCTTAGGGTAAGAAAGAAATGGTTACAACCCGATTAGCTCATTGTTGTCTAGCTTATAGTAAAAAATAGATGCACCAATGCTCGTATGTGTGCATATAGAAATAGAAATGAGGAGGTACATGTGAGTTTATGCATCAGAATTGTTTTCGTTTGTTGCTCAGCAGAAACCCCTAGCTTCCATTGAGAATAGAACCATTTGCGTCCTGGGAAACTGGTTACAACCTGCAGAATATTGTGATGCTTTAACAACTTTGATTCGATAACTCATTCTCTTAGTTACCAATCGGAGCAGCGTTTTATTTAGATTTTATTAACCATGTTCATGTTGTCTGTAAAAACTAACAACAAGGAGCTAAAGATCGAAGTTTTGGTCCCAGCAAGAAGTCATGAATGGTGCATACTTTTGTTTTTCTGGCAAGGACTTCAGGGGAATGGCGGATATCGTGTCGAAATGATTACCCGCGAAGCTAAGTGACCAATGGTTAAAAAACACTTGAGCGCAAGGGTATCTAACGTGAACTTTTCACCGAATGCTTCATGAACAGTCACGTACATAGTACAATGCTTTGGTGTGTGTGCGTGTTAGTTCGTGTGGGTAATACGAAGAATCCCCTTTTCCTCTCTCTTTCTCAACACACCTATTTTCAATCTCAGAAGTTTCATTATTTGCGCACGTTTTGATTGGTCAGTGTCCCTTCACATACGGATATCATTGAGTTACAAAATAATTACTTCGCGGGTTTTGAGCAGGATTTGCTTTATTTTTTTCTGTGGATTTAAAAAGACAGTATCAGTAGCAATCTGCATGCGTTTCACTTGACCCTGACACTGTAACGATGGACTCTCTTGGCATAAACGAACGATGAACGAGACAACAGATATCTCCAACGGTGCTTGCGGCAAAAGGTTAAGAAGACCTGTCGGTGTTTTGTGCACCTGAACTCCTCGTACAGAGTCGCTGTATCGCTCATCATCAAGAACCTATGGAAGCATTGCCCACATATTTCATTGTCTTCTCTAAAATCGCTATTACACGGCGTCCATCGAATTCGGAATCAAAATCCCGGGGCAAAAGTAGTTTCAGTGGAAAATAGTCATCACCTGTGCTATCCAAAACAATGGCCAAGAGTCTGCTTTATTCGAAAACAGAGCCCGGTAAGCAAAACAAGCTACTTTTCGATAAATTCACAAACTGTTCATTACAATTTTATAGAGTTATTCAGGTTCGCTGAACTGGTTTCGATAACATCAAACCGCGACCTGAGTCAAAGTATTGCTATTGATTGATCAAGGAAAATTCGGGACCCGAATAACATCAAAAACAAAACAGGTGAACTTCCGGAGGATTTATGCGTGCTCGAAGGTGTTTATACTTGGATTAAGTGGAAGAGATGGAAATGTATGCGGACAGTATGGAATGAGGAGGGTGATGAGGGTCAGACAGTAGTTCCTGAGTTAGCACATCAAAAGTGTTAGTGTACGATGAGGCAACATGGTGGGCACTGTGAGCCATGGGTGAACCACCAGACAAGGGTAAATATCTGAGTGATCTGGATATCACACACACACACACACACACACTTGGAACCACGAAAAATAACTAGGGAGGCAGTGAACCAATGTGGTCAAATAAGATCATACAGAAACGGTTTTATCAAATGTTACTTGATATGTAAGAGCTTTAGGCAAACGGCCTGAAACGAGTCATCAGGTGGTTTATCATTAATGAATATTGGCTGTTACATCTTTAGAAATTTCCCAACAAAACGGTACCCATTACACTATCGGTTAACTCCATTGGACTGCCTTCCACCAGGTCCAGTGTACCTTACAAGTTTAGTTTTACTATCCCAGTTGAACCTGCTAGGTAGTTTTTTAAACGTATTTCACTTACAGTCACTTGCGGTAGCGGAGTGGGATAAGTGACCCTAACAGGGACTTCCTGTCTCTTAGACTTCATCGTCACGCGCAATCCTCACCACCACACCCTCGGAAGCACTAGACTAGAATTTCGCTCTCATTTAAACTGTTCTGTAGGGTACCTGCACAGCCCCTGTTGGCCATGGATTTCCATATAGTCCGCTCGGATGAACTGAGGATTTTACGCGAAGATAGAATCTGGAGAATCGCCAGTTCAAATCAATGACATCTCCAGAAAACTGGGTCTGATTTTTCCATATGGAGAGCATCCAAAACAGCAACATGTTTAGGTGAATGATTAAAAAACGGTTTTGTCCGGAAGATCACTCTCTAGGCCTTAAGACAAAGAGTTTATCAATACGGAGGGGCACAATCTGGTGCACATTCAAATACTTTCACAAAATAAAACCATAAAGAAACGATTAAATGTACCACGAATCAGGAATTAACTTAAAACTGTAGACAAATCACCATCTGCCTGATTAGAAACGGGCATACTTTTGCACGTGCTTGAAGATGTCTTTATTTGAGCTAATGGAGAAAATTAAAATAGGTTCAGACAATGCAAGGTTAAGGGGGTAATTGCGATCACAACCAGCTTATCTCAAGCTTTCGAGTGTTGAGAGATGATAGGAGGAACGATGTGAACCACAACAAAAGGACATATTTGACTGATCTGAATATAAAATACACATCTACTTGTACTGAACCAGGAAAAATCACAGAATGAAGAGGACCAAAAATAATTTCATTCACATACTTCATCATCAGAAAGTCAGTGCAAACGGGCACGGAGGTTGAGTAGGTAGATTATAGGGAATTTAAATAAATTGCCGTACAAATCGCCTAACGCGAAGGTCCTCATCGAAGTGACTGGGTCACGAGAGCCAATCAAACTGTCTACGAATTGAAAGACGGTCGTTTGGGAGCCTTAAGTTAGAGGCCGGACCCCGCGAGCTGAAAGAACAGAATGATGCTGACCTGTGACAACATCTTCAGATGCATCACTGCCATCGAAACAGCAGGCTCATATCGCTTTACCTGTCTTATTGAGCGGGGTCTCACCAAACCTATCATTGAACCTGATCCCACGCCGTATATCCCAACGATCCCAGTTAAAGGGCAATTGCAAACAGTGTAAGCCTTTGCGATGGAAATGTTTGTGATGACCAACAAAGAGCACTGGACAGCTGTTTCGTCCTGTTTGGGGCTCGTCAGCAATGCGTACTTTTTGTGTCCCTGTCGGGACTCGAATCGCGATCAGTCGGGTTGGGATTTCAAACCCTTACCCCTGAGCTACACGACCGAAGGTTATCATCTTGTGCGAATGGCTCACCGAGAACCATCAAGAGTGCCTGGTGCCTCTGAACAATCGAATGGGCTAATCCAAGCTTGATACTCTAAAGTGTAAGCCT